GTGGTTTTATTATAGCCTCACACACTGAGTTGCTTGGCTAAATATTAAACATCAATGTGAAGTTCTTCACAGTACTGCTGATAGATAATAAGGGTTTCTGTGTTTGATTATCTTAGCAAGTTTTATGTACTCATCTATAGTAACTCTTACACCAGAAACTTCCTTGCACAGTGAGCTCATGCTGCTTTACACTTCTCAAATAATCACAGTACAGAAAAGGAAAGAAAAAGCTTAACATTTCACATTCTATTCTCCTTGGCCCCATTAGAGCTACGTCTGAGTACACAGGAACTTTAGAACCAATTAGAGCACCTATGTCTTTTATTCCATAGACATCAAACACTCATCTTTTCAAGGATATGCAGTGTATTAAGTGGTGGTAGATCAATCAGGTCAAAGTGTGTGTGTGTGTGTGTGTGTGTGTGTGTGTGTGTGTGTGTGTGTGTGATGTAGTGCAAATTTACCATATTCAATTTTAACTGATTTAAATGGATTTAAAATGAATTATGAAAGCTGATTTATGGCAGTGCCCATCTAACATTTACTTTCAGCCTACTCATTATTTTTTTTCTTTTGTAAAATTTATTTAGTACAGGGTCTACAGGGTTTCACTACACAGATCACACCCATAGGGATCCTCCTGATTTCAGCCTCCCAAGCTCTGGGATTACAGTAACATACCAGCACTCCCAGTCTCAATCACCCTCTCAGTGCACCCTGGGGGTGGGGCCGGCACAGCATGCCAAGGATCGAATCCCGGTCCTTGAACCTGCCTAAGTAGGTGCTTTAATCCACTGAGGTGTCTGGCAAGGCCTGAATATTTCTTCAATATTCCTCTTAACATAGTATCTCATCACAAAATGGAAATTTTTCTATATTTGCAAAAGACTAAAGTTAGGCACTTTGAGGTGAGACTATATCTCTGTAGTCAAAAGGTAAACATACTGTACTTAGGTAAACCCTGAAAGGGGAAGAGGATGACCCAAGTATTGGCAAAGAGATGAAATGGAAGAAGAGAAAAGTCCAATTCAAAAATTTCAAATGGGGCTTGACCATTACTGGTGCCCTAAGGGATGGAGGAAGAGTGCTGGCCAGCAGGGGATGCCCGTGACAGCTAGGAGCTGGGGTTGGTTCTTGTGTCACCACCATGGAAGTGGAGATCTCAGTCCTATAACCTTAAGCAAATGAGTGCTAGCAGTAATTTGCGTGAGCAAGAAAATTGCGTATGCCTTGAGTCTCTGGTAGGAACCAGCATTGCTTACACTTCAGTCTAGTGAGCTCTCCAGTAAATGCTTAACTTACAAAACAAAATTGATTTGAGGAAGCTGAAGAATTTATGATAATTTATTTTAATAGCCATAGAAAGCATTCCTTGACTCAACATGGTACAACTTTATTTTCACTTTTGTGATGGTGCAAATGCAATATGTTCTCAGTAAAACCTCTACCATAAATTTTGATCTTTTCCAAGGCCAGCATGTACAGTAGGACACTGGAAGTGCTGAGCCACAGCACTGAGCTAGCGGTGACCTGGTCCCAGCCCAGGACTAATGCTCTACAAGGGAGTAATGTGTTGCTGGATTATTCTGTGAATTACATACGTTAAGTGTAGTTTTGGCTTACTATGTGTTAACATGATAGTGGATTTATCAGGGTATAATCTCATGGTAAGGGAAGGAACATTGATATGGAAAGAATCAAGGAGCCTCCTGGAGGTATCGGTTCAGGAGCTGGACATATGGAGGGCATGTTACCCAGCACACGCCTGCACAGCCACACCCCATGCACAGTCACTTATGTGTTGGCTGAATTAAAGCTTTCTATCATAATAAAGCTTCAGCTACCTGGAAGAATAAAAGTGACAAGCAGAGCTGGGGAGATTGCTCCATGATGCAAGCACCTTCCTGACAAGCTCAAGGACCTGGTTTCAATTCTGGGTATGACATACCATGCCAGGCTTGAAATCTCGGGCATGCCCTGCCGGCTACCAAAACTAGGCGTGTTGGCACATGCTTCTAATCCAAGGGCTGGGGAGGCTGAGGCAGGAGGACCACTATGAGTCTGAGGTGCATAGTGAGACCCTGTACCAATTAATTAATTAAATCATTAATTGCATAAATGAATGATTTCCTGACCTTAAATTGAAATAAATATGACAGGAAAAGTGACCCAAAATGTAAGATTCTAGTCTAATAAACAAAACATCATGTTGTGAAGTTATTTTTTTTTCCTCAAACTTGATCAGTTTTCTTTCAGAAAATGGTGGGCTGGGTCATTTGTTCTTTTCCACTACAGTGACCAGCATCAATGATTTATCAGTAATGTGTGGGGCAAGGTGTAGGCAAAGTTCAACAGTAGAAGAAAACATGTCTATGGAAACATCTTGAGTCTTTTCTTTTTCCCACTGAAGCCCTTATTTTTCAGTTCTAGAATTATAAAAAAGCATTTCCATTTTATCATTTCCCATCCTTATTTACATCTCCCCTAAGACATTTGAGCAAATACTAACTTTTCATCAGTCTCAGATTATATGTATGCTTTCAAGAGTGAAAATAGCATCCATTATTATTTGTTAATGTATTTAGTACAGGGTGTACAAGGTCCCACTGTCCAGATCTGACTTGTAGTGACCCTCTTGTTTTCAGTCTCCCAAGCACTGGCATCCCAGGTACATGCCACCATGCCCAGTCTCAATCGGTATCTCAGCGCATCTCGGAGGTGGGGCCAGCACAGCACACTGGGGATTGAACCCCAGTCCCTGCGCCTGCTTAAGCAGGGGCGTTAGTCTGCTGAGCTACCTGGCTAGCCCATACGTTACATTTTTCGTAGATGACCTGAAAGTGTAATCGTGTCTGCACCTTGTACTGTGAATAGCCAGTAAGACGACAACACCTCGACTCTTTTGCAGTAGTCTTTTCTCATTTGCACCCTCTAACTCTTTCATCACTTCTCAGAAGTACGCCTCAAAAGATGTTACCTTAAAAGGCTTTGGTGTTTTTCTATGTCTAGTGCAATCCTGCCAAAAGGTCTGGCATTATGACAGATAGAAGAAATACATTCATGAGGGCCGGCCTGACAGCTCCGCGGACTACAGCACCTGCTTAGACAGAGCACAGTGGCCGGGGTGTGATCCCCCGTGTCCCGCCCCGGTCCCGCCCCAGGGCACGCTAGGACGGTGACTGAGGCTGGGCGTCGTGGCACGCGCCTGAAATCCCAGCGCTTGGGAGGCTGAAAAGGGGAGAATCACTCTGAGTCTGATCTATTAGTGAGACCCTGAAGGCCCTGCCCTAAATACAATAATAATAATAAATTTAATGAAAGAAACACATTGATGATCGTGACTTTCACGTTTCAGAGTTCACCACTTTGTACTGTCCACCATCTTTCTGTAACCACACCGGGCGTGCTTCACCAATCTTTGTGAAGCTGAAGGTGTGACTGCACACATGCTATTAGAATGCATTGCATGGGGCTCCAGGATGTGCGGAGATTAGGGGATTACTGCGTTCCTCACTCAGAAAGCAGTCAAGGGTCTTGTTTTCCTGCATCTTCTTGCTGATAGTTTGGGTTAGAATTATATAAACTTTCCTGGTTTTTTAAAGAGTTTTTGAACAAATAGTGTTAAGTTGTCATTTATAACACAGTTAAACCATAACAATACAATAGAAGAATATTTGCTCCACATTTACTCACCTTTCATAGTTATTAATGTAACTTAGAATTCTCAGCCAATATAGATTTTATTATTATTATTATTATTATTATTATTATTATTATTTGCAGTACTGGAGATTGAACTCAGGACCTTGTGCTTGCCAGGCAAACACTTATTCTACTGAGCTATCTCCCTGGCCCTAGATTTATTATAACTGCATCAATTCTGACGTTATTTGGATTTGTATTCTAATATTAAAAAAAACTTCAGAATTACTATAATTTCATTCCCATTTGAGTTTGGAATAGATTTAGTTTCAAATTCCAGTTCCACACATTCAGTTGACCAAACATTCATTAATTATACTAGTACTTGTTATTATATAATTTTATATATGCAGTAGGGCTTGGTAGTAGGACACTGAAGTATTTATTTCTTGTGTAAACATAGGCAAGAAAATCTAGCTCTGTATGCCTCATTTTTTCACTTCCAAGATGGTACAGTCATATTTAGACAGTGGGAATATTTTGATGATTAAATAAGATAACATACACAATGCTGGAACACTATGAAAATATATAAATATGGAATATGAATATGAAAATACATAAAGTTCTTGAACTAGAAACAACCACACAATAAGTTATGTTAATTAAGAACTAAAGTTGTGCTTCTAATTTTACATTCAAAAATCTATAAAAGAAACAATCGCTGAGGGCCAGCCAGATAGCTCAGTTGATTAAAACACCTGCTTAGGCAGAGTGCAGAAGCCAGAGTTCGATTCCCAGCATGCTGTGCTGGCTCTGCCCCTGGGGCATGCTGGGATCACCATTGAAACTGAGCATGGTGGCGTGTGCCTGTAATCCCAGCACTTACGAGGCTATAAAACAGGAGTCTCAGTAGGAGTCCAATCTATGTAATGAGACCCTGTACCAAATACAAAAAAAAAAAAAAGAACAAGAAGATGAAGATGAAGACAAAGACGAAGACGAAGACAAAGACGAAGACGAAGACAAAGACGAAAAGAAAAAGAAACAGTCCCTGAAAAATTCAGCACTTTTATATTTACTACTTGGACATAGTATGCTATTGCATTTTTAATAACAGCAAGGCACAAGTTATGCTCATTTTGGATTAGCACATAAATATGTACATTAAATTATAAGTTTGGCTTATTTTGAATGTAATTACAGTGCATTTCTAACTTTAAACTATGCATTGATTCTTCATTATCTTCTTAAATTTTTCCTTAGAGCAAAAAGTATTATTGAATTAGAGCAATGTCATAACTTGTCAGATCATCAGAAGCTCTTATGTGAATTTCCTTGTGTTTTACTGCGTTTAGGCCACAGACCCTGATGCAGGAATAAATGGCCAAGTGCACTACAGCTTGGGCAACTTCAATAATCTGTTTCGCATAACCTCCAATGGGAGCATCTACACCGCTGTGAAGCTTAATCGGGAGGTGAGGGACTACTACGAGCTCATTGTAGTGGCCACAGATGGGGCTGTCCACCCTCGACATTCCACTCTGACACTGGCCATTAAGGTCTTGGACATTGATGACAACAGCCCTGTGTTCACCAATTCAACCTACACTGTAGTTGTAGAGGAGAATCTGCCAGCTGGGACCACTTTCCTGCAAATAGAGGTACGTGGGAATGGAGGTATTCCCTCAATTCTGTAATCTAGTATTTGCCATTAGAAGAGAGGTGCCAAATTAGTGACAAAATTGCAGTGTATTGAGATAAATTTTAATTCCAGATAAAGAATAAATATTAGTACGCCTGACTTATTACATGTTGTATTTTATGAGACAGCATCCCTTTAGGGAAATTCCACATAATTAAAGAAATGCACATTTGTGAGAATGAAACAACAATTTTTGTTTTCTTTAATTTATGATGTAAGACTATGTTTATTTCTACTATTTGAGAATAAAGTATTAATTAAAGAAAATTTTAGTTGCCTCTAAAGTAATCAGTATTAAAATTTTGTGTGTATTTTCACACTGATCCCTCTGGTCACACAAATATCAAATATATATTTTCACATATAAACATGCATGTGCATAGGTATTGCATACACAACACATGTATATATTCATACTTACACATGTATATATACGCATGTATTTTTTCCTGCATTTTGCAGACACTGTTATACACATTATTTTGTAATGTTTTTCATTTTTATTCATCAAAGGTGTCTTTCTGGGTTTTAATCATCTAACTTCTTGGCTAGACTTCCTCTTACAAAGAATTTTGAACATTTTGGGTTGGTAGGCCAGGTTAATATATGAATCTTCACTTTTGTCGACCAGCACATTTAATTCTGGGAGTTATTTAGCACTTTGAAGAAAAAAATTCTGCCTTTGTGGAAGCAGATGGGTATATTGGGAGTTAAAATGGATGCCTCCTGTCTGGGTTTGGACCTCCTGTGTCGATGTGGCTAAATGCACCAAAGAGGTTGGCCTTGTAGGTAAATACAGGACTTGCTATTGTGCCTCACTCCGGAAAATGGTGAAGAAGATTGAAATCAGCCAACACACCAACTATGCCTCCTCCTTCTGTGGGAACACCAAGATGAAGAGGTCGGGGACCGGGGAGATGGCTCAGTGGAATAAGTGCTTCCCTGGCAAGCACAGGGACCTGAGTTCAATCCCCAGTTGTACCAAAAAAAAAAGATGAAGAGGCGGGCCATGGAGATCTGGCACTGTGGTTCCTGTATGAAAACCGTGGCTGGGGGTGCATGGAACTATAATAGCACTTCTGTAGTCCCAGTCAAGCCAGTCATCAGAAGACTGAATAAATTGAAAGACCAGTAGAAGCTCTTACTATTTGCAACATCCCTAGTCTATAATAAATGGGTTAATTTATGTAATAAAAAAAGGATAGCTTCAATAAGAGCAGCATAGGTCTCTGTGTTCTTGTATTTTATTTACTTCACCTGAGATGCCTTTGCCAGTCTGTTTCCTATAGAGAAGAACTACTTGGAGAAAGGTATTTCTAAACTCTCTGCTAAGGGGCTAGTCAGATTTTCCTAAGCAAAGGGCAGATAGAGATTATTCAAGGTAGTAGAAAAGCCCTGCTTGAAATCTTGGACGAGAGGGCAAGGTGTGAGCTAAGGTCCAGAAGAATGCCTCAGTCCTTCTCATGATGCTAAGCGGGGTGGAGGTGCTGAATCTTGAGTCTGATGTCTCTCAAAAGCCCACGTGTTGAGGGCTTGGTCTGTGGCCTGTGGCCCTTCCCTTCTCTGTGTCTTGAATGCTGTGGTATGAGCAGACCAGACCAAGGCAACAGAGCCACGTGACCACAGGCTGAACTTACAAGTGAAACCAACCCATCACCATGATTATCTCAGGTATTTTGTCATGGCGGACTAATCAGTTGGTTAAAATCTGAACAAGAAGTCAAGAGGAGTTTAGATAAGAAAGTGACAGCACATAATCCATGCTTTAAAGATCTTTTTCTAGTTGTGATGTCAATAATACATAGGTGGAGACTCCAGTCACAGGTGCTTGTATTGATAAATGTAAATTTAACACACTGACCTCGAATTTTGTTGTTGCATTTTATTTTATTGCTTCCATCCGAGGTATCTGTGCCAATCTGTTTGCCTGAATGAAGTAGCATCTGCTTCCATAGCACCTATCCTATCTTCTAGCTTCTTCTTCTTTTTTTTTTTTTTTTTTTTTTTTTTTTGGAACTGGGGATTGAACTCAGGCCCTTGCACTTGCCAGGGAAGTGCTTATTCTGCTGAGCCATCTCCCCAGCCTCTTCTAGCTTCTAATGGAGAATATTTTTAAGATGTCACATCATTTTTTCTTCTGTTTTAGTTTTTGCATTATTCCTCTTTAGGCTATAACCTAGAGTACAAAAATTATACCTTGATTCCTCTTGGTTTTTGTCACTCTGACTTGTACATGACAATTGTTCAATATATATTAGTTACAGAAAGAGAGATGGAGTAGGCTGATATCTAGGAAAGTACAGTAGGACCCTTGTGAGAAAAAATTGGTATTGAACATTCCTTAGTTTTCCTTTATAGTCTTTTAGTACCTTGTTAATTGTACTCATTCAATAATTATTTATATTTGAAACATTTTCATGATTATTGATTAGCAGGAAATATTTCTGACATTATGTATTTCTGTAGTGTGATTAATTTATTTTAATTTTGATCTTTCAAGTAAATAATAGTAATAAAATCAGCAATGAAAAAAATCCCATAACTTTTTCTCTTTATTCATGTTTTAATCACTGCTCCTCTCTTCTTCTGTCATCTCTTCTTCTCTCTTCTCCTGTCATCTCCTCTTTTCCCCCTTCCCCATTTACTTTACTTTACTTTTTTACATGAAAAATTACTTAGTAGAAGTGTTTCTCTCAGCAAATGTTTTCTCATCATTACATTCATGCTGTCCTAGCCATGGCATATGATTTCCCACAGCCTTGAGGTCTATTTTGGTTATGCACTGATGCCACCCTTATTCTACCTAATGTTTTGTACACTTGGAATTTTATACTATTTTTGTTACATATTTGTCAGACATATTGATCTCATCCCTCATCAAGAATTTGTCCCTGTATATAACATATCTTTTTTTTTCTCCCATTCCTCTGCAATTTCTCTGCTTCATTCCTTGCAGGCTAAAGATGTTGACCTCGGTGCAAACGTGTCTTATCGGATAAGAAGCCCAGAAGTGAAGCACATTTTTGCACTGCATCCCTTCACAGGAGAGCTATCCCTTTTAAGGAGCTTGGATTACGAGGCCTTTCCAGATCAAGAAGCGAGCATCACCTTTTTGGTAGAGGCATTTGATATTTATGGAACAATGCCACCTGGAATTGCTACTGTCACAGTAGTAGTAAAGGTAAGGAATTATGAATGAAATCTAGATGGCTACCTCCACTCTGTGTATCTTCTGTTTCTTATATCATTTCGTCAACTGTTCCCATGAACGCATTTATGTAAAAAAACAGAAATAGTTTTCTTGTGTGAAGTTTCTATAGAGGCTTTAGAAATATCCTTATTTTCAAGTTTAAAGATAAGTTTAAAAGAGGCATTAAATATGCACTGAAAGACTGACCATTGGAGTCTACCATTAGAAGTTCGGTAACTTCAGGAAACTCACAACCTTGCTAAGCTATACTTTAGTCTCAATTTCCCAGCACTGGACAGGTTAATTTGCTCCAAAGCTTTTATTTTTTATTTATTTATTTTCTATTTATTTATTTATTTTATTTATTTATTTATTTATTTATTTTTGCGGAACTGGGGATTAAACTCAGATCCTTGCATTTGCCAGTCAAGCGCTTATCCTACTGAGCCATCTCCCCGGCCCAGTTGCTTCTTCTTCTTCTTTTTTTTTTTTTTCTAACTTTTTAATTTAGAAGATTTTTTTTTCTTTTTTTATTAATTTTATGGAGAAACAAATAACAATGAGATAGTTTCAACACAGGTTAATGGGACAGTTACAATACTTAATACATTGCATATTATTGTCTTCATAGTAGTTATTGATATTACAAGATGCAGACATGATATCCTGACCAAACACTATTAGTAAAAATATTTCTTCTCATTGAATTAAGAGAAAGTAGCTGTATATCTATCCTAACTATTTTGTATGTACAGATACAAAATGGTCTTTCATTTATATCCCCTGTTTTTGTTTAGCTTTGTCAGAGATGGGTATTCCCTTGCCATTTAAATACTGTAGGTGTTTGAATTCAGCAAAATAATCCAATATAGTTCAGTAGTCCATAATAGTAGTAGGTTATCCATAGGACTGGCAATGTCAGAAGTTGTTGACTTGAGCCTTTTACAGGTCAGGCTATTAAATGAAAAACAGGGTCTAGATAGGTAAGGGTTCATAGACCTCAGAATTAATTAGTTAGGCTTAGAGACTTGAGTGTCTGGGTTTAACAACTCATCAGTCAGGTGGAACTGAGGTTCAGTACTAACCGTAGCATTGCCAATCTCTGACCTTGGGAGGGTTTTTAATCTCTCTTCTCTTACTTCATTTATTATAATACTCTGCATTAAAAAATATGGTGAATTTAATCTTTTCATTTCTTATGATTTACAAGGTATACTTTAAAAGTGGGCATTAGGGAATACTGTAACCAATTATTCTATAAAGCTCTCAATTATTCTATGACAATCACCTGAACTTTACCTTGAAGTTTCAAATCTCTATGCTTCTTTAATAAAGAAGAACCTTTCTCATTGAAGTTATTGTAAGAATTATTAATATTAAAATTAACATATTAGAAAAATATATGGATGATTCTTAAAACAGAAGTCTGAACATCACATACTGATACATATAGTTCAGTGGCAACCATATCTCTACAAGGAAAATTTTAAATAATTTACCAAATATGCATCACACAAATGACTTTAGATGACATTTGCCTTTGTATGCGATGCGAGTAAAAGTTTTTGCATAATCACACTGTATTGAAAAATACTTTGTTTTGGCCATAGAAAAACATAGAAATATGAAAGTGTTTTATTCCTTCCTTCATAGAAATTTGAATGATTAAACAAACAAACAAAACAAGTTTCTCGCACAGCAATAGACATCTGTGTCAAGCAGACATCAGAGGCAGAGTGAGAGTGGCAATGAAAAAGAAAGGAAAAAAGAGGGAAAGATGGAGAGACAGGGGCATGAAAGAGGGAAAGGGAAAAAAGAGACTTAAAATCTATATAATCAATGAAGCAGTTTACAAAGGAACTCATGGAATATTTCAATAAGTCCAAAAACAATTCAAATGAATACAAGTAGACCATGTAGACTTTTTTAAAACATGTATTTGGTAAAGAGTCTATAGGGTGTTCAGGGGCTCACTACATAGATCAGATGCTTAGTGATCCTCCTGTTTTCAGCCTCCCAAGTGCTGGGATTACAGGCATGCGCCACTATGCCCAGTCTCAATCTCCTTAGAGTACCCCAGGGGCACGGCTGACATAGCATGCTAAGGATCTAATGCCGGCCGCTGTGCTCTGCTGAAGCAGGAGCTTTAGTCTGCGGAGCTATCTGGCTAACCCTTAAGCTATGTAGACATTTTGGCTCACAATTTATTTGAAGTTGCAGCAAAATGCATGACCAATGACTGTGGCCAAGATTTTAGCAGATGACCATAGATATCAAGACTCATAATAAAACAGTAAGGTCTATGTGCTTAGACACGTACTAAGGAAACTATGTAAATTGTGAATTAATATTTAGTTCAGGTTTATAGTGTAATATTGTAATTCAGTCTCTGACAACCACCTTCTGGGCTGTTGGAGTGGTTCATGTTATGGGAGCCACAAGAAACTGAATGTGATCAAGTTATCAGACTCCATGGCTTTGTTAAGTTGTTTGATCCTGGAGATCATGCAGAATGCCTAAGCTAACTACTAGGTATGATTTTAAAAAATGGAGCATATTTAATTTTTTGAAAATTAGATTCCAGTATAAGACACATTGGCTTAATCCTACTGAAAGAAACCCACGTCCACTGGCTTCAAACACATTCATCCCATCATTCTTGGCACTTCTTGAAGTAGTACCTGAGGTCCTCTTTTGCGTCTCTCCTTGCCCACTCACCATCCTGGCTTCCTTGAATTGATTCCAAGCATTTACCCTTGTGCTCATTTGGACTTTGCTGTAGAGCCGGAAGTTGCATAGTGCTGATCAATGAAAGCAGTAGATAAGGGCACAAGGCAGTTTCTACAAGGCTATCTTTTCTTCGCTAGCACTTGGCAACAATATTCTGTGCATCTTTCTTCATATCTCATAAAGACACACAAAAAAAGCATTCCAGATATGCTTCAAAGAGCAGCAAGAATGACTTGACAGTAATGTAGTAGCAGTCTCTCTCTTACAAAAAAGCATACAAGCCTTTATTGTATCTCTTGAAAATTTAGTATGAGGTCCCTTCACAGTCATAGATATTAACTCTATCAAAGTAGTTTTTTTTTTTCTTGAAACCTACTGCTACTAGAATATTAAATGAGTTCTGCTTATATAAGTTATTAATCCTGGGATATCTGCAAATACAACCTCAGTCGCTTTAAGATTCAACTATGTAAAGCTCAGTTTCAACTGGTTGATTTATTTTTTCATGGTTTTTAAAATAACTGTTTCCAAAGGAAATCTTTACAAGGTTCAAAAACAAAGGTTAAGAGATTTTGCCTTCACAAATATTTTACTTTTTATTTTCTAGTTGTACAGTGCTTACATCTATACATTCCTCCTAAAACTTGAGACACAAATATAAGTAATGGCATGATTTTAAATCTAATGTTACCTGTGCATGTGGTGGCATAATTTTGTAATGATCACAAAGTTATGTTTTATGTGTAAACTGCTCTTATATCCTGGCAGTACATAATAGGACACAATTTTTCTCAATGAAAAGGTATTTAAGAATTCAAAACATGATAAAAAGAATAATTTTAAAATCTATTATTAGTAAAATTTACAATAGAGCTAAGACTTTCATCTCAGTATTTTATTATGATTCGTTCAGTGTTTTGTCAGATTTTGATTTTTGATTTTATTAATTTCAATGAGAAAGAAGTAGCAATAAGACAGTTTCAGAACAGTTTAGTAGGACATTTATAATAATGAATACTTTGCGTATTGTTATCTTCATAGTAGTTGTTCAGAGTACAAGATGCAGACATAATATCTTGTATAAACACTATAAGTACAAATCTTTTTTCTCATTGAACTAAGAGAAAGTAGCTGTATATCTATCCTATTTTGTATATACAGATATATGTATTTTTATTACAAAATGATCTTTCATTTATATCTGCCTTTTTATGTTTTGTTTTATTTTTTTTACAGAGATGGTTATTCCATAGCCATTCAGATATTGTAGGAACTTGAATTCAGCAAAATAACCAAATATAGTCTAATAGTCCATAATAGTAGTAGGTTATCAGCAAAACTGGCAATGTCAGAAGTTGTTGACTTGAGCCTTTTACAGCTTAGCATATTAAGATAGCTTTACTTTTTATACTTCATGCTTATACTTTTCTACTGGATGGTTAAGACCAAGATAAAACAAGACTCATATGGCTAAAAATGCAACTTTCATATCTGACAAGGTCATTCAGAGTCCCTCAGGATTAACCCTGCAACCATGTACAGCAGTTTGTAGATCTTTTGTCAGTGTTAGCCATGGGGATGAGTCACGACCTTTGCTTGAACAATTTGCCCTCTGTGAAAGCCTGAGAGAATGTTTTCTCTCCATGTGACTCTCCCCAGGCCCACTCTACATCATCAATCACTTTCCTCTGTGGCCCCATAATGTCCTTGAATACAAAATTTTGGACACCACTGAGTTACAGGATATTAGAGTACAGGTTTGCTTATGTCCTGATTCCTCACTGACCTTGAAGAAATAGGGTGAAAATATTAGCTGTGCTTGTAGCCCTGCTTTTTCTCTAATTTTTGGTCTGCAAACTTCAGTTGTTAACTCTCCAGAAGAGAAGCTTAATGACATTATTAGCCTATAACATAGGCAGTTGAGCTTAAAGTCACTATCTCTCTGAATATCAAACACCTTAGACATAATATGGAACAGGTATTTTCCATCAAGTATTGATATATTAAACTTTAAATCCATACAAAATATGAAGACAAAAAAATTAAAACATAGGAATAAACAATTACATATTTTTACACAGAAATTTAGTAATCTAACCATATACAGTATTGTAGCAGAACAGTCCCATGACATTTTTTTTCTTGTCTCTTGTTTTCATTTATTACCTTTTTTTAAAAAACCAACATTTACTTGAGAGACAGTATAGCAGTAATTGATATGATATTAGAAGGAGTACATATTTAGAAAGCCATAATGACAG